TGCATGGGCTGGAGTGATGGGCCAGATCTAAAGAAAGCATGAGTGACGGAAATGGTGCAGTCCAGCTCTTGTCCGTGCAGGAAAGACACGTAGTGGCCTTCATCGACTGCTGTTCCTTAGAAGTGGGTGGTGTGGTGTTTGGCTGTGTTTGCGCTCTGGAGAGAGGTGGACGTCCCATCTGCAGTGCTCAGACCAAGCTGGGACAGGGGTTTAACTTGGCCTGTTGAAAGTCAGTGGGAATCACACTGTGTTCTTTTTAACCGGTGACTGCTTGACTTGAGGCACGTTGGGTCCCGTCCTCCAGATTCTGAATTCCCACTTCTCCTTCACTTCTGTCTCCGTCATTCATATCAGCCACACCTTTTGCTAAGTCTTGACAGGTACTCTGTATCCTTTAGAGGGCACAGATGGAGGCTAGGACGCTGAGATCTCGTCCTCGAATCGCCATCCCATACTCACTTCCTCCTGCCAAAGTCAAAGCCTTCAGCCAGAGGGGGAGGTGGAGACAGCTGTGTCCTCAGGTCTCGGATTCCGAGTCCCTGGAGGGGCCGTCTGGATTCCTCCTGACCCCATCCCTGGTGACTCGGCAGCTGTGGACAGTGGCTGGTGGGATGATGCGTTTTGGCAGTTTCTCTCCTAGGCCCTGGATCTGTGCCCTGGGAAGACTGCACACTTCCTAATTTCGGCCTCGCTCCCCCCTGCCTTCCCTTCAAATCTTACTCCTTAAGAGGCCTGACCTCTTCAGTCACTCCGTCCTGGGAGGAGCTGCCTGCCACCAAGTCCTCTTGACATTTAGGAAGCCAAACCCCTGTGAGTGAGAATGTCAGTGCTTCTTCTTTGCCCCCCACGTCTTGTGCGGCCCATGAGGCTTGCTTTTTGGAGCGGTGAGTGAGCCTAGCCATCTCTCCTAAAGGAAGGCCCAGTTCTTCTAAGGCTGCTTACCACTGAGGGACGTAGGGAAATGGAACGGAGGTGAATCTTCACTCAGCAGCTGGGAGGTCGTGTGCCCCTCATTCAATTATCTGACTTCCTGGGTCGTCGTGGTTTCTTCCTGTGTGATATGAAGCTGATGGCCCCTGCCTCACAGTGTCATGGTGACGACAGAAGGAGGCAGTGTTCGCGAATCCTAGCTCACAGTAGATGCTCAATAAACTCGAGTTTCTCTTCTGCCCAGATTTCTCTTCAAAGGGCCTCTCTGAGTCTGTTGTGTGTGACTGTGGGAGATGCTGCAGGAGAAGTTCCTGCTCCAAGGGAGGGGTCGAGGTGAGACTGTCTCTGAAGTTCCTTCCAATTCTCTAACTCTGCAACTCAGATGTGTGTCCCTGCCTAGATCCTGCTCTGTTCAGACTCTAGAATTCAACTTAGTATGTTTGTGGGGGGAAGGGAGAGGCGGGGGAAGGATGTGGGGGACGAGGACAGAGGAGAGGGGCTGTTGGCCAGGGCACCCCACACCTCCCTTGGGGAGCACTTCAGACTAGTTTGGAATCTGTGAACTTGCTAGATTCTGATGGAGCCCTGTTGCCTTGTGAGAGAGTGAGCTCCCTGTCACTAAAGGTATTCAAGTAGAGGCTGCAGGGCAGTTGGCAGGGTTGCTGAGGTCGGCAGGCTGGATTAGATGACTGAGAAGGTCCCTTCCAGCCCTAGGCTTTCATTATCATGGGATGCCACGGTACAGACAACCTCAGACAACCATGGTGGTGCATGGTGACCTTGGTGCACCTTGCTACAATAGAGGGAAAGGACCTGCATTGCACCAGGCTGTAGCATCGACTCCCAGATG